ATGTCTGCCAGGAGGGTCGATGGCAGGGCTGCCTTGTAGAAAGGCCAGAAGGTTCCTCAAGGTGCCACCGAGCTCACCCTGCCTCAAAGCACATCATTGTGGGAGGGTTTCTGGAGGTTTTTCGGGGCAGGGCTGGAGACACGGTGTTCTTCCCCTGGTCTGATCACCCTCATTGTGAGATTTCCCAGATGCCGAGGTGGGACCTGAGGTTTCTGGCTGGAAAACCGGTACAATTTGTTCATTGTTTTTCTTCTCTCCTCTGGGCCAACCAGCCCCAGTTCCTTTGGTTGCTCCTGCACGCTGCGCCTTCTGGCATAGGAGCCACCTGTCCTGTGCCTCGCTCCTTGCACGATGCTGAGCCTGGACATGCTGTTCGTGCTGTGCCTGCAGCCTTGTCAGCACCAAAAAACGTGGTCATGCTCTTGTTCGTGCCTTCACGAATGACTTTGCCCGCAACAACATGAAGCAATTAACCTGAACTTGGCTTGCAACCAACCCACCTCTCTTCTCTGGAGCTGCTGGACCCTGCCCTGCGTCGTGGTCCTTCTCCTACTTAACGGTACTTTGCTTCCTATTGAATTTCACCCCGTTTCTTTTTTTTCCAGCCCGTTTCTCCAGTCTCCTGAGAGAACGGTGAATTCTTCCCCAGCGCGCGCTTGCATCTAGCTTCCCACCTTACAGCTGCAGAAGGCACTATTGCAGTTGCCAGAAGTGTTTGTGGAAATGTGGACTGAACCTGGAGCCACCACAGGTCCCCAGGAGACCTTGCTCGATCCAACCTCTGATACCTCCCAGAGTGAGTTATCCATGCAGTTTTGTGCTGGTGCTGTAGAGGTTCACCGCCACCATGTTTCCCAAGGTGGCTTCCAACACTTGGAGACATTTAGAAAGCTGAACTGAGACCCTTGAAGCCCACAGGTTGTGGCTCTGCTGGAGGAAGCTAGGTTGATCTCATGCAACTTGGTCTTGGTAGATCCCCGCTGGCTGTAGCCCACCTTGGGTTTGTTTGTGGATGATTTGTTCCAGGATTTTCCAGGAACCCATGTCCAGAGGGTGAGTTGGACACATGGGTCCCCCTCTAGTCCTCTGCCCCGTTGCTCCTCCCTTCCCCATCCGGACACAAGGATGGTCGCAGCTGGCCCTGTGCATTGGCCATGCTGATGTGTGCCCAGCATCTTCTTTCCCACCTTGCCTTGTTGTCAAATGCAGAAGGAGATGAACCAGAAAAAGCAGCTGATTTTTCTGGTTTCCCCACAAGTGAGTTTTTCAGCCCTTGAGTTGGGTCCTGGAGACTTCCCAGCATGGAGATGCCTCAGGGCGGAGGTACTGCTCGCCTCCATCTCCAGGGTAATGTCTCCTCCATGTCTTTCTTCCAGAGCTGGCTGTGGGCTTTTATATTAATATTTCAGGCACGCAAGCCATCTTGTCAACTCTGCTCTGCCAATTAAGTCGTAATCATGCTGTAACGAAGCAGTCGCTGAGCTCGTGCTGAAAACCTCCGCTAGCTTATTCCTCTTCCTCCTCGCTGACTCCTGGCACTGCTTCGTGGGAGACAGAAGGGGACGTCAAAGACACCCCGGTGATTTTTTCATTTAAATGAAAATTGCTTTTTTATTTTTTATTATTTCAGCCAAATTAAAGCTCGGAAGCCCGCTCTGCGTTATTTGAAAGCTCTGCCGCTGTCTCCTCTGGAAAGCATCTCCCTCCTTGGCGGACTTGGTGATATTTCCCATCGTGCGCTCGGCTCCTCCGGCAGCGTCTGTGCTTCTCCCCATCCCCTTAAACCCCGCTGTACCTACACAGGTCCCAGCGCCTGGCTGTCACTTGTCAGTCGCTCAACTGTCAATCATCCCAGCTGTTGATCCAATACTTTCGGGCATTCCTAGCATTTCCAGGTGGGCTGGGGGGTTGTATTTGCCCAGACTCCTGATTTTCCAGAGCCCTGTGTGTCCTTGGGCTCTGGGAAGGATGGGGTTGGGCCGGAGGGATTTGCAAGCCCGTTAGCGTTGCAGAGCTTTCCTCTTTCTCCCCCGAAGTTGATGCTATAGAAACATCCAAGACCGATGTTACTCTCTCCTATTTTGGCAGTGCAGTAGGGATTGATGACACTTAATGCTTATCAGGAGCTTTTGTTTCCTGCACGAGGCTTCCTGGGTGCATAAATGTCTCTTTTTCTCCTCCTTTTCCGCCTCATGTGTTTGCAATAACCACAGATGCTGCCAGAAGGAAAGAGCCGCTCTCAACAGGGAAAGGGGCTAAAAATATCGGAGCAGCCTTGGATGGGAACAGCGGGAGCGGGCTGAGCTCCCAGCCGGCGCTGGGAGAGGGTGAAGGTCTGCACTGGGAACTGGGAGAGCCACATGCCTCGATGCTGGTGGAGGGAGAAGGGTGGTTTGCTCGTGGTGGGATTGCCCCAGCAAACCTTCAGTGTGTCCCCTCTAAAATGCCATTAGGGACCGATGTGCCTTTGCTGGGGTGTCTGCGTGCCCGTACCGGAGGGATCCTGCTGGGCTGGCACCTCTGGGTTCGCGTGGGAGCGCGGCTGTTTGCAGGATACCAGCCTGGGAGCTCTTCCTCATTTGTGCCTCTTCCCGTGGGAGGAGAAACCGTCCGGACCTCCGATCGGGGCAGGCTTTGAGCTGGTGGGGCAGATGCATCTCAGATGTATTGCTTGGTGGGGGACAAGCAGGAGTTCCCCGGGGGGCTCCCGGGGACATCCCTGTCCCCCTCTCTGCCTGCATCGTCAGCATTTGTGCGTGGGGACAAATCCGTGCCCGCCCCTTCTCCATGGGGGCTGGGGGAGCTGGGGGCAGTGCCCCTGCCCGGGGTCTGCCTCCCAGGGACAGAGGGCACCAGCGTGTGACAGAGCCGGTGGCCCCATGTGTCCCTTGGGTGAGTGATGGCTAACGTCCTCCCGCAGCGATGCGGGGGGCTGTGCCGAGGGGTGGTACCCGCTGCCAGTGGGACTGAAGCGGAACGGATGCGGCCCCTGCCGGCAGGGGGTGGCTTTTCCCGGCCACCGCACCTTTCCGGCTGACGTAGCGATGGCTTTCTTTGCCAAGTGCCTTGGCCGTGGATGCTCTCAGGCTCCAGGGACCAAAGCAGGGCTCCTTCCTGCTGCGGGCTGCTCCGGCATGGGGATCGGTAACGGGGAGGTGGTGCCACACAGCGCCGGGAGCGGGGGGTGCTGACGGCGACTCCGAGCATTGATCTTGGCATCGTCTAAGAGGGACGTCTGCCCGGGTCTTTAATCTTTGCAACGGCGGTTTCTTTAGTATTTCTAACAAGCAAAGAGCTGCCTGCGGCTTTGAACTCGCAGGGCCCCCTTGGCTGCGTG